TTCACCGACTCCTATGTGTACCGTCTAATTTCCATGGACAACAACCTGCGTGCAGAGATTATGAGGCGCAGAAGATGCGCGTGGGCGGCAATCGCAAACATAAAGAAAGCGGCTCATCTCGTATCGGACAAGAAAGTACGAGCTGACCTTTTCGACTCTACGGTATTGCCAGCACTCTGTTACGCATCCGAGACGTGGGCGGAGAACAAGACGTCAACGCTAATGCCGGTTCGCGCACAAAGAGCTCTAGAGCGGACGCTGCTGAAGATCAACCGCGCAAACGCACACTTGGCCGTCCTGCAATGAGATGGAGTGATTCACTGAAGAAACTTCAGGGAAACAATGGTCAACACTGGTCCCAAACCGCTAAAGATCGTCAAAAATGAATGGAAGCGTGCGCTCGCCGCTGAGGATTATCAGCCGACAACGAGCGTCCAAGTATCCAAGTAAGTAAGTAGATTCGAACACTGGGACCGCTTTAAGAGCATCAGCTCGATATATTTTATTCGAACAGAACTATTAGGGGTTCATCTTAGCCTCGTCATCTTAGTGCAGTCCCTCCCACTATAAAAGTTTGTTCACCCCTCTTTAGCTGCCCCTAATCATATTCTCTGCATTCTGAAACGCGTTTGAGCAGAGATGAATTTTCAATCTTATGCGCGCCCACCTTAGTGCGAACCCCGCCAATTCCAGGGATTCGGGCGTATTCCTTCCATTATCTGCAATCGCTCTTTTACCGCAATCTAGAACGCTTTTTAACAGAGTTATGAATTTTCGATCTCACCAGGTCCAACCCACCTTCGCGCGAACATGCCCACTTCTTGGGTTTGGCCACATTTGTTCTAAAGGGTGTCCCAAAATTACGGGCGCCAATACTCAGAAATTTCTAGGGTAGAAATAATCTATCAAATTCACATTACCTGCTGTTATTTAGTTGCATAATAAGGTTTCCCTGCAGTATGCATGGTTACTGATGTGGAACTCCCAATATCTTTTAGATGGAGGAGGCTCATTCAATGCCACTTGCAATCATTAACACGCGAGAGGTGGAAGGGCATTATGAAATTCCTTGGGATTTTTTTAAATAAAGTATAGAAGGCTATTAAACGATATAGAAAAGAAAATTGCATCAGAGACAAAGCAGGAAAGGTAGAAAGGTCAATGTTTCAAAGATAGAACTATTAAAATGGTCCGTCTGCCAGTCGGTCGTGATCCAGGGTGACCCATCAAAAGGAAGTCAACGGGCACGGCTCATCGGAGAGAGAAAGTATGTCGTACAGAAACTTCATTGCAATTCCTATCGTATGCAGAAATTTCGTTTCAATTCCGATTTCAACAGACATTGCAAGGCCAAAAAATGCAGAAAGGCGCAGACCGACTTGAGTGATGACACGCAACCCTTCATCGTTTCCTCTGGCCAAAAAATTTTTCGCGCTAGTGAGGGGTATTGTGAAATGTGATTGTAGCGTGTTGTAGCAAATGGTGTTAGCTCACGTGCATAGAAATCCCACCGTCTTTTGCAACTGGGAAGCTTCAAATATATAGCTATGAACTGACGCCCATAACTTAGGGACACCCTGTATAACCTCTACTCTACCTCACTTCTTCCAACATTCTAGCTGCCCATCGTGGGCGGGGTTTCGCTGAGTTTGCGCATGCCCAGCACACATAAGTCCTCGATCACTCTTGCTTTTTTCTGGTTTCTACGTGTTCGATTAATCAAATTATGGACCTCAGCGAAAAGTACCACTCACTGCAAGAACCTCTGCCCCTCATTTTAATTGTTGACCGATCTCTCACATTCGTTCATTTTTCTTTGTGTCTGGACTTTTGTGAGACCGAGTAAGAAAGATTTGCTCATGAAATCGCCCAATTCCGACGCATGCTCCAACCCTCCCCCCCCCCCCTTCCTTGGAGGTAGAGCTCCTCTAGTCCCACATGTTCTATGTTGCACTTACCCTATGCTCGACCCATTCCAAATTTGACCCGACCCTCTAGGTATTCATCAGGTAGTATCGAATTTCGTGACAGACAGACAGACAGATAGACACCAGAGCTTTATATATAGTAAGTATGATGCATCTGACTAAATCTGTCTTATCGTTCAATTGTGAGGTAATCAATAAATAGTAGGCCCTCCCTTTTGCGTGATTGGTCATTTGAGGACGAGAACGATAGCCTGGCTTATGACAAAGCGATAGAGAAGTCGTATCAGATGTACATGTACTGGGTAGTCTTTTGACGATTTTGAGCAGTGCA